ACCTTTAAGCACATTTTTGCCTTCAAAACCTATGTGGTGTCTTCTGTGTTTGCCCTCGAAGTGTGCCAGTGGCCTCACACACTGCACTGCCGGGGCCAGCATCAGTTCCTCTGTGGTGTAGGTGCCGGGACCGGCACTCAGCCACCTCCACCCCAAGAGCATGCCAAGGGTCTCATGCAACTCCTGCCCCAGTTTTTTTTCTCATGATCCTGAATCAGAGGCTTGGGTAAGGACAGGCTGCAGTAACACATGCTCTTGTTGTCTGTTTTTAACGGGCGTACGGTCTGCCCCGGCCCCAGCGAGCTGATGGGAACTAGGACATGCAGAGGAGTGCATCCTCCTCATTCAGCTGCTGTGACGGCCTCAGAGCCAGCTGGAGCATTAAGGAGCTGAGCAGCTCCCTGCCAGTCCGGCTCCCGGGGCCAGCTTTAGGCGCAGGCAAAATCGGCAGTTGCCTGGAGAGGCAGGCTGGTGGAGGCAATGAAATCACAGCCAGGAAAGGATGAGCCATGCCCCGGGGCGCAGCAGCAGCTGCTGCTCCCTGACAGGCTTCCCCGGTCCCCCACTCCCCTGCAGCACAGCCCCTTCCCGTCTTTCTTGCCCGCAGCCCTGCCTTTGCTCTGCCTTGCCCAGTGCTGTCTCTTGCTCAAGGCTGGCCTTGCCGCTGGGAGCCCCATCTCTCCCTCTCCCTTGGAGCCATGGCATGGACAGCAGGGACCACCAGCAGCCCACAGTCATGCCTCCTTGGTGTCAGGCTTTCTCCTCATGAAAAAGAGGGTTCTGCCTCTCAAAAAGCATTCCCAGAGCTGTGTCTTGAATGCAGGAGACAGCTGACCGTGCAGTATTAGGTGCAAAGCCTAAAACCAGAGAGAGCAAAGCTGGTGGAGAAGAAGGCTGGTATCTCCTTCCTACTTCAGGAAACACTTTCAGAGGCTCTGCACTTGCTCTTGCATGGGGTGGATGTTCACAGGTGAGAACTCATCCCCGCTCACACAACCAAGTCAAGCTCTGTGGGCAAGCTTTGGGAAGGTGAACACAGGGTGATTTGGCACATCCCATCACCACGCTCAGTCCCCCCGAGCCCTGTGCCATCTCACAGATTGCTCCTGTCAAAGGCCACCCATGAGAAACGGTCATATATCAATCCCTCTGTTATGGCTTGGTAACTTGATAACACAAATGGAGGGTGCAGAGGGGCTGTATTTCCAGCCAGGCAGCACTGCTTTTTTTACTACATTAAAGCATAGGGACAAAACATACCCAAGCAAGTACATCAGTGTCCTGATCCTCTAGGTGGGTGTCACCAACACGTCAAAATTGCAACTAAGGCTGTAAAAGCACTGCAGGTACACCCCAGTCAACAGGCAGCCTGGCATCAACTCCCCAGAGGCCTGGGGACACAACACCTAAACTAGATAATCCTGACTGTGCAGGTCCCCCAGCAGATGGGCTGGACATAGGGTACAGAAAGACAGCATTGTCTGAAAATACCTTCACAAAATACTGTGATTCTTGAGAGACCTAGAGAAGACATAAAAAAAGGTCTCAAACTGATAGGTATTAGCAATATGGAAGGCAAACGAGTTATCTGACCAGCTAATGGGGTTTAAGTGGGATAACCCCAAGCTGATAGTGGCAGATACCATCAGTGAGACACCTGGTCAGGAATACCTGTACTGCACAGCATGGGGGTTATTGGCTCAGAGCAAACTAGAAGTATGATGCAGGTTAGCAGGATTAGCAGAGACCTCCACCTGGCCAAATTTAGGGTAAGCTCCTCTGCATTTAGTCCCAAGGTAGTTTAAATAGTTTTCTGCTTAAGGGATTGGCTCTGAAAATCCCTCTCTTAAGCACTTAACTACAGGTCGGCTTGTTGGCACAGACTGGCCTCATTCAGGCTGTGCGTTCCCAAAGGTGATGGCTCAGCAGAGGGCTGGGAGCCGCCGCACTCCAATGCCTGCTACCTGCAGAAACAGGTTCCATGTCACTCTGTCCGGGCTGCTTCAAGATCACTGCTGGTTGCTCTGCTGCCTTCTCTGCAGTGAGCTGGAGTCCTGCTGCGCCAGGCTGCCGTCCACAGCGCAGACAGCACCACAGGGCAACCGCGCCGAGGCAGGGGCGGAGAGGGCTTGCCTTTCTGCAGGGAAGGAGGCTGTTCCTCTCTGCTGTCTCCCAGAAGGGCTACTGCTGAATTGTACCTTCCCAATGCTTCATCAAGCAGCTCTGTGGGTTTTTTTCCCCTGTTTCATTATGTTTTTTTCAACTGGTCCAGCTTTCTGTGATGCACTTACAAGATATGGCATTGCTTTGTCATTATAATTTTTTTTCATTATAAACCTACTCTAGCAGGACCTTTCCAAAGGAGCTAAACTGTGTAGGCAACAAGCTTTTCATTTGTATACTTGGGAGTCATTTGGTCAAGTAAAGCTGCTGTACGTAAACGTTGCATTCACTGCATAACAATTGGAGTGAAGTTTTTATGCACAGGGCTTTTTATTTTCCAATCAGCAGCCCTCAGTTGAGACTTTTGGGGTAAACTGGTAGCTCTGGGCAGCTTTGAAGCATCACAAGTGGAGTGTTTTGTCTCCAGAAGATTTACTAGCAGCAAGCTTTTCTTCAACCATTTTATTAGCCTCCTTTTACATATGTATAGCGGTGAGGGGAAAAAACCTGTTGTTGGTGAAGTGCAGAGCCTATTTCCCCTGTAGTATTCACACAAAAAAATTGTGTGAAAAATTGTTGCCCAGGGCCTCCCCAAATCCTGAAATTTAGCTTAAAGCCATGAGGTTTTGAAACCCTTCAAGCCTTCTCCGCCCCCACCCCCCTCCCGTTTAAAGGTTGAAGCTGGGGTAACAAATTCAGTGGTGAGAATGGACGCCCTGCCCTTGGCTTCAGCTTGTGCTGCCAGAATAAATCTGAGCCCCCAAGTCAAACCACTGAAAAGTTTTCGCCCACTTAACATGGGTTTTATAATTTTAACTTGCAAGTTCTTGTTGAATTGAGCCCCGTTGCGTGGACAAATTGGACAAGAAAAGTTTAAATGTTACCACTTTGGCTTCTCCTCAAGTGGTGTCGAGCACAGATGTTTGTGGGGGCCATCATGTCCCTATAAGAATGGGGGCTTTGTGTGCATAACCTTACAAAGGGCAGAATAGCCCTGCTTTGCTGCCAGCCACAGGATCATCCTATCTTTATGTGTTGATTTATTAGGCCAGGGATGAATGAAACCGTAATTAATATTACTGAAGCATTAGAGTCTATTTAATTTAAATGCCACTGAATATTTCACTTTCAGTTGGGAGTGACAATGTGTTCGGGACTGTTGGTGAAAGCCTCAGCCATCTGTTACCCCTACTAAGAAGGGAAGACAAGAGAGACACAGGGAGACAGAGAGCATAGAGCTTTGTGGCTTTTCCAAGCCTCTAGGATCATCATTCAACTCAAGGGCAGCCAAGAAACATTCCTGCGCACCGGACCCTTAGTGTATAGGGGAAAGTCCTGAAAGGGTATAGGGGCAACACATCTCCCCAAAGGCTGGAGAGAGAGGGAGACAGAGGGAGAAAGATGGAGATTTACAGTACATGCATACATACATGCAAGTATACGCGAGTGTATACATCAAAATCAAGTGCCAAGGCAGTAGGAGGGTAGAGTAGGAAACTGGCCAACATACAGATGGTCTAAAAATATTTTTTAAAGGTAGGAGGGAAGAAAGAGTCAAGGTAAGGTTTGAATGTTGGTTTTAATTAGCCTAAGCAGTGAGGTTCCAGTCCAGCTCCATTGTAGCAAACATCCAGGCTTTGATATGATGGGCATCATGATGTTGAGAGCACAAGACATTCCCTATGAGCTACTGCTGCCACATGGTCTCCACCAAGCTAAAACAAATAAATGGGTTAAAAACAGAAAGGGCAGCAGCTTAAGCAGCAGCCTTAGTCCCTGAGAAATGCTGTGCGGCACCAAATGAGCAGCTGGCGAAGCGTCACCTTTGCTCCTGCGGTGACAGGGAGGGACGTGGCAGGTCTCCGGGCGGAGTGAGGGGCTGGATGCACGGGCGGGAGGAGCGTGCCGGCGCGGCAGCCACGCACGGGAGTTGGTGGGGTGGACGGCTGCGCGAGGCCACGGGTGGGAGGCTCCGTCTTCCGTGGGATGGTAATTAGCACAGTGGGTTTTCTTATAATTGGGATCGTTTGTTCTCCCAGTTTTTCTCCTGCGAACTGATTTCATGCCAGAGGGAAGCTGTGTGACTCACACCTTGCCATGCCAATTAGCTGATAAACATCAAATGTAAACAAAGATGGCCTAATTAAGACTAGTCGCCCAACCTCTACATGCATCTTGTCAAAATTCCACCAGCCTTTTGCATCCAGACTTATTTTCTTGTTTGCTGGCGCTAAATTAGTGGCTTTGCACAAGAACCACTTATCTTTGAGAGAAGCTTAGAGCAGGTAATGAGGAAAATTGGGAGCCAGCCACGGAAGCAGTGTCACCCCCTCCATCTCGGCAGGGACAGATGGGGCAAGCACCGCCTCCAAACCCCACACAGGGGCTCAGGGCAGGAATTTGTCCGTCACTGGGTAATGCTGGGGGCGGGTGTCTGACCCAGCAGCCACATCTTGGGGTATTTACTCAATTTTTCTCCCTGAGTGTTGCTGTCTGTACAAGAAATCTGTAATGTGTGTGTCTCCTGCCGTTCTCACCTGCTGTGAAAATTCATCAGTCGGAGCCCATCGCTTATCATGGGCCGGTCCCCCCGGCTCGCAGCCTGGGGAGTTATTTGCACTTTGGAGAGGAGGTGTACGACAGCGACACATTGGAGCGACAGCATTTCACACCCACTTCACATCAGAGTGAAGGATCCCACAGGTGAGTTGTGGCAGGGAAACAAGCCCATGGAGGAAATTTTGTTCTGGGAGGTATCCCAATGAAACCCGTGTGATTGTTTCATGACAGTATTAAAAAAAAAAAAAAAAAAAAAAGAAAAATGTCCAGTAAGGAATCTCAGTGAGTCATCTGGACCATCCCTCTGCCTCTAGACAGGATCCCCTAGGTCCCTGCAGATTCCATGGCTCTCCAGCAGCCTGTCATGGCATCTCGGTCTTACTGTTAGGGAAGACTCACTTTAGGTTTTAATTAAATCTCTTTGCTGCACACTAAGCCCATTTGTTCCTGTCCTACCCAGGATGAACACAGAGAGCAAGTCCTTCTCTTCCCCTTTGTGACCATCTTCAACATACTTGAAAGTTGTTATAATTTCTTCCTCCCTAGCACTTTCTCCTTTTTTAAGCTTAGCAGCCCCAGGTCATTCATCTGTTCCTCATAAGTTGTATTTTCCAGGTCTTTCATCATTTTCACTGCTCACCTCTGAAGTCTCTCCAAGCATCTCTGTTGCTCCCAAAGTGCAGTGTCCAAATGCAAGCATAGTGTCCATCTGTCTGTGCTTCACCCCATCCCTTGATGCAACACCCTCACCCACTCCTGCATTAAACCATGCTTATTCCAGCCCAGCATGGTCCTCCTGAATGCCATCCCACCTCTCCACATGCCACTGGTTCTCTTTGCTTTGGATCACCTGAAACTGTAATTAGGTAATATCAGTTCCACTATCCAGGGCAAGAATGATAATTTAGCTCTGGCTGATTGAAAGGCTGACTGTCCTTGAGCCCATCTCGCTGCCAGATCAAACCAGCACTGAATCAGTTACTGCTGTCTTGCTGCTTCTGTGGTTTTACAGCATCTCTTACACTAACTTCATCCGAACCACATTGCCCAACCTTGCTTAAGAAAACGTCGTGTGAAGCACTACCTTCCTAAAGTGAGAGAAAACTGGAGGCATCCACCACTTCTCTCTGCATGATAGGACTTCCTCTGTTGTAGAAAATAACTGGAGTGTTTTAGCATAGTTTTTTCTTGACAAATCCCCATTGGTAGCTACCCCTCTGGGTGATTACAAATAGTTGTGTGATTATTTGCTCCAGTACTTTCCTGGGGTTGAAACTGGATTGCCTTGTCTAAAACTCACTGGTGCCTCTTTTCCCAAGTGTAAAGGTCCTCTGCAAGCCCTCAGTGAAAACTGCTACTGGCTCTGAACCCACTTCAGGCCCTTTGTTATCCATCCCAGGCAGCTGGGGAATAATATCTCACACCATGTCAATGAGAGTGAAAAAACTCTGTCGATACTTCCCTGCTTCCCATAAAAGATTACAGGAAACCTCTGAGAAGTTACCTGTTCTGGTTGAGTCTGATTGAATTGATGTCTCATTCATCCACACGTGAGAAAGGAACCTACTTGTTTGAGACAGGGTAAAAATTAGTTACACCTCACTCTCACCAGTGGGTACTCATCTTTCTTATGACCAGTTGCACAGTTTATGTCAACATTTCTGTAAATGATAAGGCTTCTTGGAAGGAAAGACGAAGGAATGCAGGAAAGGCAGACATAGTGCAGTTGCAAAGAGTGGCCAGTCACAGTAGTGTCACAGTCCCCCCCCCCCACCCCCTGCTTGAACAGGCTCCAGAAACAAGCACAGACTCTCCCCCCTTGTCTGGCCAGGTTTGGGGAGTGGGACTGGACAGATCGGCTCTTTGTAAAGAGAGAATGGAAAGTATATCTTTTCACACAACAAATAAATGTCATTTATTTGAAAAACCTTACAGCCAAAACCTCAAATCTTTGAAAGTAGTCTGTCCTGCAAATTATCCAAATACCAGGCACTGCTTTCCAGTGAAATCAGGAAGAATGTGTTGGTACCTGGATGGAGGAGTGACTGAAGAAGCTTCACACCAAACTGATGCTGTCCCAATCAGTGCAAACATACAAAAATCAAGAAATTCAGTTTGCACCACGACTGTGGGTGTATGCACAGCTCACATCAGCATAGAGGTACTTACAGCACAGAAATGAAGGTGTGAATCTACCTCAACTGTTTCAATGGATACATCGTCTAATACAGAAGAGAACAATTTCACAGCTGTTCAATAGTCTGATGGGGTTCTGGGGAACACAGTTTTCAATAAAGTGTAAAGCAGGCCCTTGACAGTGGTGTCAGCAGGAAGTTTTTATATTTCATGAACTTACTATTGTCTAAATACATTTTGAAAAGAGTTTACCAGCTAATCAGCAAAGTAACATAATTATGCCAGATGACAAAGCATTTCGCGTGTATGAGTTTCTCCACTGGCAGGGCTCAAAACAACATGTAGCCTCATAACTTTTTAAATTCCAGTCAGATCCCGCACGCTCTCCCCACCGGCCTCCAGCTGACTCATCCTTTTCAGAATATTTCTTTTCATTATTGTGTCTGTAGGCTGCACATCCCAGAGCCAGAGCCAGATCAAGCTGGTACTAGCCAGTGCGGTGAACCAGCATTTCTCCGTGGTGGTCTCATCAGCTTCTGCTGAATTTCAGCTTTCACTGAAAAGGAAAGGAAAAAAAAAAAATCAAGCTGTCTAGGAACAAGGAGCAAGCCTTGTGACTGCAGGGCTGCTTCACCGACATGGTAGGGAAAGAGAAACAATGGGAAAGAGTGACTGAACCACAGCAGGGACCTGTGGCAGGTCCCGGTGGCAGCGATGGCAGCGTCACCTGTGGGGGCTGCAGGTGTCCCCCGTCCCCACCCGCGGCACTGGGGCAGGTGGCATGGGGACACTGGAGGGGAGGTGGCCCGCACATGTTTACAAATCAGGCTGCTGCAAGGGTGAAGCCACCTGGTGCAACCCTCACACTGGTGTCCCTGCCCTGGTGTCCTGTGACAGGGGGACATCACCATGAGGCTGCCCAGCACAGCTGCTCCGCCCCAAGTGGCCCTTTCTCTGCGTGAGAACCAGAGGGAAAACAGTGTTCATCAGCCAGAAAAGCACCATGTAAGTAGAAATTGAAGATTTCCAGTTCCTAAAGAGCTACCAGTAAGCGTTTTCAAAGTGGCGTTAAATAACACTTTGAAGTTCGGCCTGTGGGTTAAAAAAATGTGTTTGGGGGATAAATCCATATCTTGTTCCAAATATACAAACTAAGCTTCATTTTACTAAATATAGGCATGTAAGGCACGGCAAAATTCATCAAAACTCTCAATCATATCTCCTAAAGAGATGTGTTGTGACAGGACACCAGCAACCCCATGAAAATAAGGGCTTGGTATTCCAGTACTTACACGCACGAGTTGCCTCCATAGTGTAAGCAAAGCCACTGGATCAAACGCTTGCAGGATTACACCTCTCAGACTGGCAGTTTACACCAGGTCACTTGGCAGGATCTTTCCCATTGGGCAGTAGCTCACCCTCCAGTCAGGCTCCCGGCACCTCCTCCATGCTGATGGCGAGTCTCCAGAGCTGAGCTTTTCCGCCATCAGAGATCAAGTAGAAAAGTAATGTTTAAAAAAAAAGAGCTTTATTGATTTGGTTATATGAAATGATCCCCTTTGCAGCATGGTTTACACTAAGCCTCCAAATCTGACATGTCTTTGAAAGCCCTCTTAATATATCCAATTATAGATTTTCAGCAACTTTGTGGAATGTCGGCTTTCCCAGTAACTGACCCCGGAAAACACCATTGAAATCAGGAGGGATTTTGCTATTGAGCTCAGTGGGGGAGGATCAGGTCCTACATAATTTTATTGTCAGCAATGATGACCTCTCTTCACAAATGAAGAATACCCATCCTGAACCATGGCCTTCGGAACGTAAACCATTTATTTTTATAGCTGGATCCTTCCCCAAGTGGGATATTTTGTGCATGGTTAACTTATCCCAGGGCTTTAAATGCTTGCCAAGTGGCTTTAATAGCAGGATGTTGTTTAAAAAGATTGGGAAGGATTGTGGGCAGTAATAGAGATAATTGCCAAGGAGAGATAAATGAATCTTCAATCTCAAACCAACTTGGCTTTATCATTGGGTCAGGAGGGAAGATCCAAAAAAATCCCCTGTCTAAGACTAAATGCGTAATGATAGTTTGGGATTTAGGGAAGTTGGCAGCTGTTGAGATTTTTTGATAAAAACATCATTTGAGGCTTAATACAGGTTTGTAATTCCATATAAAGACATGAAAGCCCCTTTTCACTCCAGAGATTTGGCATCATGGAATAAAAAAGCTGGAGGTGAATTTCTGGGAGAGGAGCAGACAGCAAATGCCAATCTGAACAGAGAGCTTTGTGGGCTGCACTGGGGTAGTGAAACTGTGTGTGAAGGGGCTGAGTGCAGGGCCACGCAGGTAAGGAGTGTTTTGCAGGACATGGAGCACCAGCAAGGGGACGGCTGCCCCTCAGACACTTCTTGGCCACCCCTCAATCACCGCTTGGTTACCCTTCAGCTGCCCTTGTCCCCCAGAGTGTCTGGGAGATGGTGGCACATGCCAAACTCAAAGCTTTCCTTTCTGCAAATAGCAGAGAGAGCATTTCCAAAACATATTCAAGCATATTTATTTATTTATTCATTCACCAGGGAGGGGAGGAGGTCGAAAGCCAAACATTTTAACGAGAAATTATCTTACCATATCATGCAGAATAAGGTACTGCATGACACAGCGACTTTTCGGGTCAACTTTTTTAAAAATGAGTTGCAAAATAAAGACTGCTGAAAAACTAAAAACAAGGACTAACTTCAGACAGGGCTCCCCTGCTAGGATTTGGGGAGTTTGAGTGGAATTTCAGCTTTCTCCCCCTGTGACATCCTTTTTTTCCTTGCCTGCTGTCAGACAGCACCCTGGGCAGCAGGACTCTTGCTGCTCTCTGCAGTCCAAGCCACCCGGGGTGACTTCTGTGAACACTCACGAGGTTTTTAAAAGAGTAGGAAAGGGGATTTGAGAGAGAGGTGATTTATTTTTCAGCAGAGGCCTTACCCAATGGAGGCAGGGGGGTGCCTCTGGGATGTAATCAGTGAATGTGGAGCACTCACTAGGCTTTCATGAGCATGGAAAAGGCATTTTAATTAATTATAATTTATTTTTCAGCAAAGACCTTTTCCAGCTCTGGATGAGGCTTTCCCCAGGCTATTTTTCTCCTTTCTAGACCTTACATTCTCAGCTATGGGAAATAACATGGAGAAAACCCAGAACCACTGTACAAGGGGAGGCCTGACAAGATGATTTCTCTCTTTATGATCTGAAAAGGAAACCGTGACCCATTTTTCCAAAAGCAATGTTAAAAAAAGCAGAGCAACATGACATGACCAATACAAAATGGGTGACCTTTGGATTAAAGAGCCGCTATTTCAAACATCCCAGCTACTTCCCATGTTTGCAATTGCCACCAAGAGACAGACAAAAACCGTGAAGAAGGTGTGTGGTTTGGCATGATAAATCCTTCTTTGTACACAGGGTCCAAGGAGAGTGTTGTTCTTGTGAGGTTTACAAGAAAAAGAGATCAAAAGCAAGCTATGAAATAAAACTGGAGGAAAACCATCCCAAAACAACACAGCTCCCTGTTACCCAGAAGGAGAGCTTTCCTGCTGGCGTATGAATTATGGCCCATTCCCGGGTCAGGGCTTTGCATTTCCAGCCTGGCTCAGCCCCTCTTGGTAGAAGAGGTGCAGCCTCCCCGGCCAGCGGGCTATCTACTAAACTCGCCGTTGCCTCGGGCTCCTGTTCACAGCCCGCTTGCCTTTAATATTGACATGCTCACACTTGGAGGTATTATTCGGAGCTTTGGGTCTGATGATCATATTTATATGGCTGACACCCAGACCTACTTGCCTATTCCTGCGGATTCCCATGAAGTGCTGTCATGGCTTATTACCTGTCTATCTGCGCTTCAAGCCTGGGTGACTTTTCATTTTTTGAAGCTTAATGCTGGGAAAACAGAATCGCTTCAGATTGGTTCAGTTCACCTCCTGGATGTACGGATTTATGATATATAATACTGTATCACACACAGCTTGGGAGCTGGTTTCACTGCCAGGCTCTTAAAAATGGTCTTATTTTATCTGATATAAACCTTTTCAGAAGCGTAGCAGCAAGAGGCGAAAAGAGAAAATATCTTTATCAGATTTCGGAAACTTCTGCATCTTTTGTTTCATGTTGCTTGTCAGGCTGAGGAGCCCTTGTTCATGCCTCGATCTAATCCAGAGTTGTGTATCGTAGCTCAGTGATAATTGGAAACTCTTCTCACTCCAGCATTTTCAGCTGTTGTAAAAGTCTGCAGCTAATGTCATAACAAGAATTAAACTGTCTCATCATATTACCCCCGTTTTAGCTGACTTCGCTGGCTATTAAGGTGACAGCGCATTGATTTAAAATTTGTGTTAATTGTTTACCCCTTCTTGCAGAGGCTTTCTTGGGGGTTTTGTAGCGACCTGCAGGCTTTCTGTAGCCATGGATTATCTTTGCATTCAGCTTTATACAGACTTACAAAAAAATATCCTCTTTGTCTGGATCACACCGTGTAATACCCTCAGCCTGTGCATTTCTCTGGCACATATATTCCCTGCATGGGTCGCTTTTTAAAAATAAGCTAGTGGAGAAGGCATGACTGGATTTGATAGTACAAGACTTTAAAGAAGCTTCTTTCCCTCTCTGATTTTTATTTGTAGTTGTTACCTTCAGTGTTTCTGGCTATTAGTAGCAGGGGTGTCGTTTTAGATAAACAAATGTACTCGTTCTGCCTACAAAACCTTCTACTTTATAAGTTTAACACTGAAAGTGGCCTATAGACCCCTCCCTTGCAAAACAGACCTTACAATCCAGGCTTCCACTTTTGGTGTGAATAAATCGATCCCTGTATAAGCCCGTAGTAAGAAACTTTTTACCTAGAGTTGAGAACGAAAATTGCTTTGTGCGATATGCTGTCTCTCTGGCACAAAATGAGCATCACCCCAAAGGGAGTTTGGCATGCTCAGTGATTGCAGGGATGGTAAATAGGAGGCATTTTCTTTTTTTCTTTTCCATGATCTAGCTCTCCAAATCCACAAATAATATGTTTCTCCACAGATATTAAAAAAAAAAAAAAAATCCTTTATTGCCTCCAAGACTGTGAGTTTTATTCACTTCCTTCACTGAGGGCAGAAATATTTCTCACCTTCTGCTCCACTTTGTTATGTTTTTTCTCTCTGGAGCAATTATTGAATGGGAAATGGGAAGATGTCAACTTGTCCTAATGAAAAATTATTCCAGTTTAAGGGAAAAAAGTAAGCAATAAATATTTATTTGTGAGTTTAAAATCCCATTGCTTCTTGTCCCAGATGCCAGGGACTTTGGATCAGACCTTGGGCTTGTTCTTGGACTGTGACCTTATCTAATGGACTTCTTCCTAAGGAGACCCACTCTGCCTTCCCTGGGCAAGAAATGCTAATCCCATAACCAGCCCTTACCTCACCCCATCTCCCACTAGTTCTTTTTTCAATTTTTAGTAAAAAAAAATTAGCTTGTGCATGAGCTGCAACTGAATTTAAAAATTTTCTAGCAGCCAGTACATTTTACACAGTTTATAACTTATAAACATGATTGTAAATTGCAAAACTATTCCTGGTTATTTGAGTTCCCAGCACTCATTCCTGGGGAAAATCAAAGTCTCCCAACTGTCATTAGGGAGCACTTCATTAGAAAAAAAAACATTCACTATTTATATTTTGAGCAGAAAAGTGCCACTCACTTGTATGAATAAAGCATGTGCTTTCCCAGGCCGCTGCTGGCTGCTCCCTGCACACCAGTGGCCTCTGCCAGCTCCAGCACCCACGCATGACAGAGCCTCGAAAAGGGAGAGGGATTTGCTGTAATAGCTCCATCAACAACTACGGCTGCCGGATGGTGCTGGGAGCCGCCTGGGTGCTCTTGCCATTAAAGCAGTGCCAGTAAGGTAGTCTATATTTAACGTGAACTTTTCTGCCTTTGAAAAGCATTGCTTGGTGCACAATAACTGCTCTTTAAAAGCCTTTTGTTTCATTCCTGTTTTGATGAACTTCTTTCCCTTTGATGTTCATCTGGAGTTTAATCGCGATAAAACGTGCACAATGGTTATATTGTGGAAGAGAAAAAGGTGCTGGGAGAGCACAATACAGCGCATTATCTGCTGTCTCCCCTGTGCCACTCACTTGGCAGGCGGCAACGAGTGCTTGCTGTGAGAGAGAACCAGGGTGACAGCCCGGGCGTCCTGGACTCACACCAGCTCCCGCCGCAGCGACAGCCCAAACTGGGCTCACAGCAGAGGATCGGGCCCAGCCAGGCCCCAGGAAAGGCTCGCTGCTGCTGCCAGCACCCAGCCCACGGCACCCACCCGCAGCCATGACACTGCAGGACGATATGGCAGGGTCAATCCAGTTTGGGGCATTGTGCCCAAAGGCCTCCCCCGGCCTCGGAGAGCAATGGGCAGCCTCAACGCGTGGTATTACGTGGGCAGGATGCATCCCA